GGACAGCCTCCTCTACTTGGTTTTTAGTTTGAACTCTTATTGGCCCTTTGTTTTTCATCCGTCGGTTAACCATGCCATGTGTGTTTCGCCCTGCGTGCATAGGGTTAAAATAGGACTGGAAAGAAGAAGAAATGGAAGTGAAAAGAGCGGCTACTTTGTTCCCGTATGGTCACCCATCCAGTTCCTAACCCCGTCTAACATCGCTTAATCTAGGTGGCCTTAGCTAGGCTTAGCGGATCTGGTATGTTCTTTTTATTTGCCGCCCCGCTTCTTCGTCTACAAAACAAAAAGTCAGAAAAAGGGGAGCAGGACCGCCTGATCGCTGGTTATATCGTTATCAGCTAGTCGGTGTCAGTTTAGTTTGCAAATTTGTTCTTTTCTTAATTCCCTCAAGTTTTATCAGTGTTGTGTGTCCTTTTACTTACCGCTCGGCTTATTTGTGTACCCCCTACTTTTGGGATGTTTTCGTACCTTTTCTTTAAACGCAATTGCTTGATAGGCGTAGAGGCGTCATCATGCGGGTTTTAACTGTTGTCAACACGTGGAATCAAAATCTTTACTACTTCATTTTAATCATGAGGTGTCGTCTTTTTGCCATTAAAGAAGCTGTTTTATTTTTTCCCTTGCTTCCTGTTTCTCGAAGTTGTTCGTCTTCCCGTGCGTACCAGTATTGCCGTGCCTTGGGTGCGGGTGTCTAATACCTTTTATGCCTCTTTGAGGTTGCTTAAGGCCGGCAATTCTGGTGGGCTTCCCTCGCTCTCCCTCTTAGTTTTCCGTTATTTTATGTCCGTTAATCACCTTTTTGCACACTTTTTGGGGGTCCTTTCTTGCAATTTACTGGTCATGCAAACTAGCACAAGTGGGGGAAGGCAAGCCCACCAGTTTTGTCGGCCTTGCTCCCTCGCCTGATCGGGCCAAATTGCATGCTCATTCAGCCTTATCCCTGTCTTCATTTACCCGTCTTCCTTTTATTGTATCCAGAGATCTTACCGACAGTTTTGCTCAATGGGAGGTCATTTCGGAAAACGTTCTTCCTCATTAAGAGCCTAAGTGTTTTTTACGAGATTAAGTCCGTGAAGATTGCCTTTCAAGGCAGATTCGAGGGGGAATTTGCCTTGCACCGTTTCCCCCTGATCGGAATTTGAGGAATTTACTTCCCCTATTATACTACAACGTGAGAAATTTCTGCAATTTGATTGGCTTTGAGCAGTGGTATTTCAGCTTAAATAGAAATACCTTCATGCGAAAGTTAGCATATGGATCTTTGGCGGGTAGTAGTATACTGTAAACAAATAATTATACATTCCATAATGGCTTCTGCGCACTTTGGGGCAAGGTTTGAGAGGCTCAACCCCCTTATCTCGTCATGCTCATAACTGTTGAGCCTTTAGAATCGCAATTGCGCCACGACAGACGCTTTCTAAATTTGTGAATCAAGGATTTTTCGTGTATTACACCGTTCCACTCGGCTGGGGGGCTGGTGCCAATGTGTATCACACAACTGGTTTATTGGCCACTATTTACATTATAATTCTTGGAGTTCACCCTATTCCTCATACTTCAGTGATTGTCGTGCAGCCCGGGTTATGGTGCACAAGGCGCTGAACCTTCTAGAAAGTCGTCATTCGCCCCTCCTTGTGCGTCGGTTGGTTGGTCTACCTTTCTGGCTGTACTCCCTTTCTTTAACGTTCGTCCTTCCGGAAGATTAGAAGCTCAAGATGAAGGGCTTAAGAGCGTCATTCATCCTCACTCAGGATACTGTGGATCTCGGAGTTTGCAACGGCTCGCAGGCAAAACCACCTTGTTCTCGCGGCTTTACTTTACACCCGGGCCTCGTCATCTTGCTATCCCGTTAAGCTCCCCGTAAGTACATTAATGTTTCTGCTGTCCTTCTCAGGGGTATTCTATATTAGATATATGTGGATATCCGGCAAGGTGTCCCCCTGTTTGAGGAGCATGTAATTGGAACTAACGCTCCTTTTCGTGATGTGTTGAACTCCGGATGGGGTGATTGATTTCCCGGCCTGTTGATTGTGGAATTCCATTGAAGTGCGTGTCAGTACTGGTCCGAGCGCCCCCGCTTCCGAGCCTCTTGCCTAGTGTTAAGTCGTATCTGGCCTAGATACCAAGTTGATATCTACGTGTAGAGTCTACTGTTAGTTCGCACGTGCCAAAATCAATGTGCGGGCAGCTGAGGAAAGCTCTTTCCGTCGTCATCTAGTCATCTACCTTGCCGACTTTTTATCGCCCTGTCGTTGGTGTAAGTGTCCTCAGGAGGTAATCTTATGGACGCCCTCCCGGGCTCTCTCCGCCAGTACTTGCATGCTGCTCCTTCGTGTTTAGAGTAAGCTAGAGAAGGAGGCCCTCCTTATATGGCTTTATTGACCTTAGTTTGACACCCCTTTTGATGCTTAAGGCTGCCGCTTGACTTTTCTCACCTGGTGTACCAAAGAGTCCGCCATAGTTAATTTTTTTTTCCTTAGACTCTCTATCCTTTGGACGTCGCTCAGTAAGTCTTTCTACCTTTGACTTTAGTTGGTATAGTGCTTCGGTTCCTTGCTTCCGCCTCCCAACCCTGTCCTTTTAATGCCTCCTTACCCCCGTCGTTACCGGTGGATTGTTATCTCGGGTGCGCTATTGATTTTTCTATTGATTTTATTCTGCTTTGTTGTGTAACAAAAGTTCGTATGCAGAACTAAGACTGTTTCCTTTTAGCCAAATGTGTTGGCAAAAGGGTTTCTTACTGATAACTTGGGTCACACTTTCCTCATAGATACCAGAATGGAGCCTCTGTCAGCGCAAAAAAAAAAACGAAAAAATCCTGAAAATCACAGCTTGACTGGAGGCTTAGCTTTCAAATTTCCTGTCCTCTTTACAGCCCTATTAGAATTTATCTTAGGCCTCACCAAAAGATGCCGTTAAATCTTTTTTATTAAAGTTGGCAAAGGCAAACAATGCTGTGTAACAACTCATGTCAGTCCCTTGGTTTGCGAATACGCAGACTTGTACAGCTGTTACTGTTCTCGCACGGTATTAGTCTTCTGGCACAGTGTTTTGAAATCCTGCGTCGCACTCACTTGTTGGTCAAGCAGTAACTTAGGTAAATATTTATTAGGTGCAGTTACAGACTAGAGGGCCTCTGTATATATATTATTGGGACGAAACAATAGAAATAAGTCATGTACCACTTAAGGTATATTCTGTTAGGTACCAGCTGTCTATCCCGAACGTTACTGAGCGGTAACACTCGAGAGCTTGGATTTTTCTCGCTTGCTTTTCTTCTGGTGACAGGGCTTTCGATCTTCTTATTATATAAACGCAGTTGAAGTGTGAGAACATTCTGATGGCTCTTGCCTCCTGTTTCAAAAATGCGCGGCTAAATGTTAAGAGAGATCTTGGAGTGCGGAATTTACAGTCTTTCGTCGACCTATGTAAATCAATGCGCCTGGACATTTCCTCTGGCTTTTCCAGTTTAACTTCCTGAATAACTTTATTTTGGATAGTCGAATCCTCGCTTCTATCGTGCTGACGAGGCACGTTAAATAGTTTTAAGACCCCTTTGCAGTTAAGAAATGTGGTAACTCTGTGGGTGTTTTTGGGCCGGACATTCCTCCCTTCTCAGTCTTAACGGGGTGTCTAAAGAAGGTCAAACGAAGCACTTTGGTTAGGAATCTGCTGCGACAGTCGAACGCGCTCTGAATTTGCAAACCTCTAAATACCCGGCCAACACCTCTTCAGATGCCTAATGGTAGTTCTGTTCAAATTATTCGAGGTGGTCCTTCTACGGAATATCTTGCCAACGCTTTTCGTGATGGCATCATTCCTTGTAGTCATCAACTTAGAACAGAAACAGGTAGATAAGAAAAAATCTCTAGCAATGAAAGGATATGCTCCTTTTGTAACATTAACAAACGTGAAGATGAAAATCATTTCATACTAGATTGTAAGGCCTATTATAAGATCAGAGACGTATTTTTCTCCAAAATAGAATTTAGATTACCTAACTTCAAATCTCTTTCACATGATAATTTAGTACCTCATCTTATGAATTCTTCTGATCATTTGATTAACGGTCAATTAGTTTTATTTATCTTGCAATGATTTGAATTAAGAAGCAAATGGATTCATATCAATGAATGAATGAGATCTGTAATGTTTTGAAACGTTTTACATTAATTGGTTGAATTAGTAATTAAATTTAGACTAGTAGCTTTTGCAACACTGTATCATCATGTATGGTCCTGCAAATAAAGCTTTTGTTGCTGTGGCTGGCTTTAAGCCGACAATTTTGATAAGTGCTTGTGTTGTCGTTTTAGTTTCGGGATATGGGAGAGTTAGTTACGGGTGATGGGTTGGGGAGGCCAGTGCATGGAGACCTTTCGCTTCATCTAAGGCTGTCCTTCGCCTGCGAGCCAAGGACTCGCATGTCCCGTAACTCATCTCTTGAGTCCCAGGCCTTTGTTATGCGGGCGCCCACTGGGAATAGATTACTATTCCCAGTGCTCGCTCGCGTAACACTGGCCTTAATTCTGACGAATTAGCAGCGAGAGATCTATTTCAGGAGTCTGTGTGCGTTTCTCCCTTGGGAGTGGCTTTCTCTATATAAATAAACACGTGTGTAAGCAAATTTGTCCAGTTTGGCTGCAAGGGCGGAAGGATTGGATTCATACGCCCGTCGAAGCCCCTTGTGGGGTGGGGGGGGGGGTCTACACCCTTTTTGCTTTGGGGTTCGTTTGTTTGACCCTCCCTCCCTCCCTCCCGATTTTTTCGGTTATCTTGGTCTAGTCCTATCGCCTTCTCGCCTGCGGACTCGCATGTCCCGTAACTCATCTCTTGAGTCCCAGGCCTTTGTTATGCGGGCGTCCACTGGGAATAGATTACTATTAATAATATAGTGGTCAGTTCATAACATAACTTAGCGTGAAGGAAATGAAAATGATACCTGATTTCATTAAAATCGCTCGCGCAATAGTAATGCGATACATGGCTCAATTACTGACATGACAGTTCATCAGTTGTTCATGATAGTCGATGATAGTTTGAGGAATTTTACCGTGAATTTCAAAGTCTGCGGCCCTTGTGCACTTTACGTGATGAAACTGTGCTTTACCCCATCTATCACTCCGTACCGAAAAATTTTACCAAGCTTTGCCGTTGGTTTTCAGGGAAATATTCCATAAAGACCCGAAAAACGATAAAACTCAGTCACATGCTATCATTATTATAACCTCTGGTAAAAGCGACGACTGTTTCAGTTCAATACACCGACACACAATCAGCCTTACTTCTACGGGTACCACAGAAACTTAAATATTTTAAATTTACTTGGCCCGAGGGAATTCAAATTTCATTCATTGTCCATCCCGTAATACTAACCGAAACTAACAGGATCTGTATGACTGAGTTATGAAGACATCTTTTCCACAAAATTCGTTAATAGCCTTTTGCAAACAAAAACTTAAACCGACGAGTTTAATGGTTTTACATACTCGTTGAAAGGCCACACCAGCGCGAATTCTCTTGCAGTTTAAAGTGCACACTTTCTTGCTTCGAAAGTGCGCTGTTTTTTTTTTCCAATACACAGGTATCCCCGATCACGTAAAAGCATCCTTTATTCCTTTGTTCCATTTTTGACCGCCTCTTTCAGCAGACACAAAGATGTTTTTCAGCAAACTTGACCCTTTTGCCCTTTCTTTTGTAATCCTCACGATGATCAAGACGGATAAGGAAACGTGCTCCACAACTACACGACGTGTTCTCCATTTTTGCCGAAGCTGCTTGAGGTCCTTGAGCAACATCTCGTGAAACTAAAGAAAATGTTTTTTGGCAAACAGTTTTGGCAAAGTCTGGCGTGTTTTGTCATTGGAGGGATAATCACAGTCATATTTATAAAAATATTTGAATGGCAAACAGGTCGTAACCAAGAGCTGGGGGACAAACGAATACTCGTTCCTGTACAAGAGGTCGGTGACGGGGAAAGAGAAGAGCCAATGGAAATTAGAAAGTTTCCTCGAGAACAAGACGACTTTTAAGGTACTGATGAGAAGTATTATCACTTTTTATTTCATTTTAATTTGTTTTTTCTGAAAAAAATTGTTGGGCATGGTGACTCTGATCAGAACTTTCATGTCGACCATATCATATGTACCGATGTTCAATGGGCTTGATCCCACCCCGTAACTTACGTCAGAAAGAAAAAAAGGAAAAAGGAATCTTAAATATACTCGTACGCAAAAGGACCTTGGCTCATTAATGTTTCTTTTATTTTAGTAATATTTGTATTTCTCATACAGTAGGTTATGCAAATTGTTTAGCTCATTCGTTTCGGAGAATGATTTTCAGCTAAAGCTAGCTAACTACTGGTGCATATAATTAATATGAATTGTTATGCAGATCTGCATAAAATCTTTCTTTGATAATAACATAATAAAATCATACAGTTTCAGTACAATATCATCAGAATTGACCTTCAGCACTTATGTGCGCGAACTTTCTGTTTACCCAACAGCTGTCACGGGAGCCATTCTGACCAAGTAGCATGCAAAAGCAAGCATAGCGACGTAATCGATGAAGTCAATAGAGCGTCAACCAAGTGATCAGGCCTCAGTTGCGCTGAACGAAGTGGTGCATTTGTGACATAAAATAGTTCAGATACTACGATAAAAAATGCTACTGTAGTAAAAATGTAAAAACTGTGCTTTCTTGATGTAATAAAGTTGCTGATCATTTACTCGATTTTCCGCGTTAACTCTGTTTTGGTTGACTTTCTTCGCCCTTTGTCTATCGGAGCTATCCTATACTACATGGTTGAGTACAATTAAAACACGCAAACGCCAAGTTTGGACTTTGAGACCACTAAAAAGAGGAGAAAGGTTTGAGCAGCGGAAAGGAGAGCACATCGTCAAGGTCTTGGGTGAAAACTGAGGTTAGGATGTGACTTTGGGAACTATGTCGTTTTAAATAGAAGTAAGCCCTTTAAGCGAACAGGCTTTCTATTCTTTCTAGTGGCGGACAGGGGGAACAGAAGGAGAGAAAACGCTAGCTGTAGACTGAGCCCCCTTCCTCCTTTTTATAAACGCTTGAGCCTGCTGACCAAGACGAAAGCGACTTTCCTGATCGTGCATGAATGTCCAGGTGTGATGTAATGGTTAGCGTGTATTAAGGAGGTCTGATAAGGGGAATCCCCTAATTTGTGGCTCAACAGTTGTTTTGATGAAATGGGTACTTCGCCAATACAAACACTACTCGAGCAGATACTGTTTGAATTCCACGAATTATTGAATCCTGTTTTCCCCTCAAGATTTGCACAAGAATTGTTTTTGCTTTCTCATGGGACGACTGTTATACCCAGGAGAAATTGAAATCAATTTTGTTTTTGTGGTGGGAAGGGGGGGGGGGAGTAAACAAGGTGCACTGTAGGGAAATGTGAAGGTGGCAAATGCTCCAAAAAAACCCTAAGGTAATAGTTGCGGACAAACAATAGCTACCATTTTTTTATTTCAATATTTTTTCCAGTATTAAACAAAGGCATACTGAAAAATTTCTACGCAACCAGTGGTTTGACTGGAAAAAAATTATTTCAAGCCTTGCTGTTAAGACTCTAATTTCGACAAGCCCATACGGTCTTAACAAGTCTTGTCAACAAATTATACAGTCGAACCAACATAACTAGTCTCCCACGCAATCGCACTGATTTGTATCCTCACGCAATGTTCCAGCCTTCCATGCAGACATTGCGTGACGAAACAAAAATGGAGAAGCGAAAAAGAGAGACAGTAAAAAATCACAAAGAAAACAAAAAAACATCGCCCCCCCCCACACGCACCTACTTTTCTCCCCCCCCAAGTTTCCCGCCCTCCATGCGAGAACTGGGGGGCGAAAAAAAAAAGGGGAAACGAAAAAAAGAGACAGAGAAAGGAGAGAAACCCCTCCCCCCCCCCCCCCCCCCACCTCAAATCTAAAATCTCCCCTCTCCTAACCCCTAAAAAAGGCCTGAAACCCACTCTCACAACGACCACCTTAAAATGGGGACAGAGGTGGGTCGCTTTTGTATGGAGTGGTAGCCTTTGTTTTGTAGGGGTAGCCTGCGAGATCAGACGCTTTTTTCGGCTCTTGTTTCACCTTGCCAATTTCACTTTCGCAAATAGTCGTGGCACTTACTTTCCGTAGACATTTAAACAAGCTCAACTTCATTTTACTTTTATATGAAATAATTAAAAATAAAGGCAAGCTAAAAATTACCGTGTAGTGCTCGATCGACTTTGGGTGGATTTGTTCACGGTCCATTTTATGCATTTTAAGAATCATCGACCCAACTTGCTTATCCTCTCCTCTTCTTCTTACTTATACAGAGCTTCCCGCAAACTTTTCCTTTCGAAGACCAGTGAGTCTTGTAGCGCCTAGTGGTAGCAACTGTTTCCGAAATTCCTTTGACATTTTTAAGTGTAAATTTTTAAAAAGAAGGCGGTTACTTATAAATTCTAAAAGCCCTTTTAATTTGAACATTTAAAAATGTTCAAATTAAGTGATTTGCGGTGCGTCGTGCGACATCTTTTGAAAAAGAGCTGTGCAAGGGTAAGATCAGAAACACTGGCTGCAGAAACATAAAATGGCCAAAAATTTCTTTGGTTACTACGGCGGCCAACATGGAGACCATTTTCAAAAATGTCTACGAGAAATCCGGTTGGAAAGGAAATGAAACATTACTTTTTTGGGTCGTTCTAGCGGAAAGTTTCAAGGAGCAACGGAACATCTGAAAAGGTAGTCCCGTTTTCGCCGACGAAATGTTCCAAAAAGAAGTTTGTGTTCCTTTTGTTCAAAGCCAACTTTAATACTAGAGTGAGGTCGAAAAAAAGTGGCCTCTTAGTATTAAAAAGTACGACTGTCCTTCCAATTGCTTCAATGAGTTAATACATATCAATTCGGAGGTAAAAGACCTGCGGCCTCTCAGTTAAAATGGAGAGCAAGTATTTCATCAGGGACCGCGGAGGGGGAGGGGCTGGTAGGGCCGCGGCCCCACCACTTTTTTGCGCCCCCGCCCCCACTTTTTGTGCTAAAAAGAAAACTAATTAAAATAAAAAAAAAGACTTGAAACAAGTTTTTTTCCGTCTATATTCCGCTATATTCTCTGTATTTTCTTTAATTTCAAACGCCAGGCATTTTGTGAGTTTCCTGTGCTTTTCGCGGTAGTTGTGCCCTGGGGGCCGACTTGCCCTGGGGCCGACTTGCCCCTTGATCAAACGCCATGCCTTGGCCTTCACAGCGGTCAAACGAGTGAAATTTGCAAAAGTTAAGCGAAATACTTCAAAGTTAAGGTTGCTACTTTCACTATCGAAAGTTTAGGGTATTACCAACATCCTGTTAGTTTACTAAACTTTTTAAAAGTTTACTAAAAAAGTTCTAAGTGATTGAAAACCGATGCTGACGTTATTATCGGCGCCATTTTCAAACATGATTCTCTTTTAGCGCGAAACGTTTTCAGCAAAAAAAGCTCAAAATTTTGAGAAAAATGGAAAGATAGTTATGTTGACTAACTGATTTATACATCTTTGCCCATTTTTCTCTAACTGGTAAATGAAATCCCAGCAATAAAAAACAAAAATAACGATTTAGACGTTTGACCGCGGTGGT